ATATTAAAGTATATCCCCGGGTCAAAATCGGAAAAAATCCTACATTTTAATATACTTTAATATACCTACAATTAGAAGATTTATATTCTTCGTTAAGATTTACATGATGAACTATATTTTTCACTCAGATTCGCAAGATAAGCCTGTTTTAGGACTAGTACATGAATTTCCATCCAGATTGGTCAAAAATTGGCTGAGCTATGAGCTTTAAAAAATATGCCCATATTTGGGCATACGCTTTTGCCCAAATTCGCTTTTGCCCAAATTCGATAAAATTTCAATATTTTTTAATGAGACTAACTCTATGTGAAAGATATAACTCAGTGTTTGTTGAATATAGTGGATACTAAATAAAAAGACCTCCATGAACAAAATTGGGAAAATTTCACATAATATCTCTGTTCGGAATACTAGCCAAAATGTCATCATTAAAATTGAAATAACTCCATCAGTTTTCAATATTTTTTCAAGAACTTTTTGGAATCGATTAAGAATTGCATTTCAAGCTTATTTTGGGTAACAATTTTCGATGTAGGCCTCCAAGGATAAGGATATATTAAAGTATATTGTAGGTATATTAAAGTATATTAAAGTATATCCCCGGGTCAAAATCGGGAAAAATCCTACATTTTAATATACTTTAATATGGTTGGCCCCCCCCCCAAATAGTTGGAGTCCTAAGAAAGCAACCATGGAGAAAATGGACACACTCCATCGTAGACACCTCAGGTCCATTTTAAACATCAAATGGCCTAAAGGTATGATAAGCAACAAAGCATTGTATGAACGGTGCAAAGTTGAAAAGTTATCCAAGCGTATTGAACACCAGCGGTGGAAGATGTTTGGACACATTCTCAGGAGTATGGAGAACACCCCAGCCCAAACGGCTCTCTCTTTTGCAATTGGATCAGATAATTTATTCATTGGTAGATTGGGGAGACCTAGAATGAACTTGTTATCGGTTTTAAGAAGTGATTTAAGTAGTAGAAATTTGCAAATGGACAACTTGCATGAATTGAACGAAATTAGAGATATAGCTGCACTGCATGCAACAGATGTTGGGAAAATCTTTTTCAAGGGTACAGTTTACCGCATTAAGGTATTTTTAAGAATCATTTTTGTTGGTAAGATCCTGTTTTATAATAATAGTAATAAAAAATTTCAGTCGAAATTTACCTGCCCATCTGATGCAATAGTGTAACTGTTTTTTAGTTAAATTGTAACAAAATATCTGATATCGCGCATAGAAGATAATAATTCGGCCGTTCGCAAAGAGTGGCAAGGCTACAGAACAGATGTACACAGCTAGATGCTTTAAAGTTTACTATATCCAGGCTAAAGACGATCGACAGGTCCTTTACTGTTAATGTATAACTGCTTACTGTACGAGGAACATCATAGTAACTACTATCGACGGACAGGGTGTGATTCTTTTGTTTATTATAAGGAGTATAAGGAAACATGTACATTTTATAGAGCTCAGATTAAATCCGTTAATTATAAAGGTATGATTACAATTAAACGAATTTGAATTGCATCACAGTCATGGTTCATTAAATCTTGCACTGTGGCCAGATGGGACTTGTTGGCAAAATTTGAAGAGTCAAACAAAGCCGAGAACTGGTTAGAGAAACCATTGGGCAGTGAAACCTATACTAGACCTGTACAAACTTTCAACAATGCAATCTTCAGTAGGCAGAACCGTAGGTATGACTAGACCTAAACACTAGGACATTGCAGTCATAAGCATGACTAGACAATATACATATAAATACCAGCCTCCTGCACAGTCCTCAGTGAGGCATTAATAAGTCAATAGCAGACGAGGCCAGGACTTATCTCTTATTATGTATTAATCCCAGCACTAACAGGTGCCTTTTACTGGTATCGTTAACTTATGTTTATTTATAACGGATACAAGTTACTACTTACTTCAGTTATATTTCTACCGGTGTCAGAATCTCTGAAAGTACGCGCAGCTACCTAACTTTAATATCATATTATATATAGTCTGGTCAGTTATGGACAAAATCAGATCAAAATCTGCATTTCATAGTAGAGGGCTGAAAATTTTTTTGGGGGTTCTCAAAGTTCTTTAGAACCGAAAAAACTTCGGAGCCCTAAAATTCAGACTGGGAAAATTGCCCATTTGGCCACGCCCATTTTTGGTACCAAAATGTCCAGGCGCAATCTGAGTGAAATATATATAATGTCATTCCTAACATGTTAGGGGTCTAAATCTATGTATTTTTGCACGACGAATCGATTGGCAAGGTTCTTAAAGCTCTAAAACACTTATTTTTTGCAAAAAACTGAATAAATAGTATTTTACGCGCCAAATTTTTCAGTCACGAATGATAAAAATCGTTCAAAATCGATTTCCTGACATGTTAGGTGTCTAAACCCATGCATTTTGCACGACGAGTTGATTGGGAAGAAAATTCAAGCCCTAAAACACTTCTATTTAGTGGAAAAATGAAGAAATCGTGTTTTATTTGTCCCAATTTTGAAATCAGAATTGGTTCAAAAATGTTAAAAATTGAATAGGGTGAAATCCGTTGGATTTGAAAGGCAATAAGGATTTAGCAACGGAATGTGGTAGTTAGGACCCCTACGAATATATTTAGACTTGTCCCCAATTTTTATCTCACGGCAACACCACCTTTTACCACTTTTTACCACCTTCTTAGTTCTTACCACCTTTCTGGTTTGCCAAATATCTTTAGTTGTGAACGTCGTAGAAGGTTGCAAATTAATCGAGGATGTTTATATCATCAAGGAGAAAAACCTTTGTTAGAAAACTTTTTACGTTGGACAATCAGCCAATTGGATAATTACCAATTAGCTTATTACCAAAACAATTGAAAATTTTTTATTGGCTCAAAATGATCGATATCAATTGAAACACGGAAAAATGTAGTGTTTTTTTATTTTTGCACCACGTCGTGCAAAAATACATAGATTTAGACCCCTAACATGTTAGGAATGACATTATATATATTTCACTCAGATTGCGCCTGGACATTTTGGTACCAAAAATGGGCGTGGCCAAATGGGCGAATCTCCCAGTCTGAATTTTAGGGCTCCGAAGTTTTTTCGGTTCTTAAGACCTTTGAGAGCCCCCAAAAAAATTTTCAGCCCTCTACTATGAAATGCAGGTAAATATCCATAACTGACCAGACTAATATATATATATATGGTAGGTAACACAACACATGATCAATCAAGTGACACCGTCTTTGTGCTATATTATATAGACTGTAGAGGACATGTGTAATGTGTCACATGTGTAACATATGTAACATACGTAACATACGTTACACATGTCACATATTATATATTAGATAGCGTAGACTAGGTCACAACTAGCAATGTAATGTGTGTTAGTCATTGTATAACGTCCTGGAGTGTGTACCGTCTAGCTGGGCGCTTAGTTACTGCTAAAACGAAAATAAGCTGACAACGATAATCGTATAATGATATAATGGCTACATCAGCTATGGAACCACTACGCATTAAGCTTCGCATCGCGTACACTATTTATACTAGTAAGAGCGCGAGCGTCGAGCTGATAATTATACCTTACTTTTAACTACTAGTTGTAATAAGGCCATCTAGTTTAATATAGCTGTGATCCTGTAAATGTGATTTTTAATTTATGTATTCGAACGAAAGAAGGACAAACTACAACGAAAGAAGGACAAACTACAAAAAATGTACCGCACATGACTTTGTAAGTGGAGAAGAAGACAAGGAGAATAATTACACAACAAGAACAATTACTGTCAGTTATGGAAAGATATCATAATTTAGTTAGCATGAATGAAAAGCACCAATAAATAATAATCAAGTACGGATACGGATTGCACACCTGGCTACGGAAGATTCTATACGATAGAAGTAAAACAGTAGGAACTAAGAAATGGAGAGAAACAATCTAAATTATAACACGAACAAAACCTCGTCAGAACTAGTCTTTATCGCCAACATTAAATCTAAATACATCTCATGCTCTTTCTCTTCCCCTTATCTATTGTAAACGTCACAAAAGGAGAGTCGCCTCATGGTTGGGCTTATGTTCTCAAACAGACACAAGAGATGTTCTAATTGTTCCTCCTATCCCGTTACCATTATCTGCGGGCTATTGGTGGGCTATTGGTGGCGGAGAATTTGCATTTATGACAAAGGAGTTAGTGATTTGTGGAGGAGGATATGAACAGGAGAGCGGGTAAACAAACATTATCTCTTTACAGATATTGGGAGTTAAAGTTCACTCACATAGATCCACTACGGAATACTGCGATACTCCCATTACTGGGGATTATCGTTATTTACCACACCGATAAAAACCAACTTGTTAAATCCAAAGCAAACAACAAATGATAAGATTGTAAATACTAAAAGCATTAGTTCCAACATGCCCGTCTTTTTCCTTATACCTGACAAGAAGAACAAATTCTGGTATCAAATGGATACTTGTAGTTCTACCTTCACTTAGCTTTAATTTGTCTGCTTGTTAATTGTCTAGATATGTAAAATAGCTGGGGCCGTCCGGCAGCAATTCAAACATGACGTCAAACGAAGAGACAAAGGATATTAACACCATAACTGATGAATTATTATTAATTAGCGCTGATCAGATTTTACTGTACTAGCTGAAAGACCGTCATTCTGCCGTGTTTCCATTGGCGAAATTGTTTGCCATTTCCTACCAATTCCGAGTTATGATGTCAACAATTTCTAAACGTTAACGTGGTTCATATGATCAAAGATATGCGGTTCATGAAATGTTTCTTCTGTGGTATTACCTGGCTACCACCTATTACTAAGACGCGCAGGCGCAGCGAGTCATAATCCCATAATTTCTGTGCTGAGAAACCGCAATTGTGTATTTTGTAACCAAAAACATGTTATATTACAGCAATATAAATAAGTTGGGATGAGTTTTACATTGTTCAAATTGAGATTTGAGATTTCTAAACACGTTTCAAATAATTCAGGAACGTTTCAAAAGAATGTAGAAGTAACGGTTAACGCCAATCTTAGCGCCTCTTTCACGAGACAGAAAATAAAGATCTACAGTCAGCCTACCCAGCACCAGGTATATTTATGTTTATGTATCAGAAACTTGTGGATTGGTGCAAACTGAAAAATAACCGCTATGAGGACATTTATATACTCGACTTAAAATACAGTGTTATCGCTTGGACCTTTAATTTTTAGGAGCTGCTGACATGATTTGATTTGATTTGAAACTTTTACAAAATAGCAAATATACAAATGTACAGCAAGTCGAACAAACATATAAAATGGGCCGAAATGTATAAATGCTATAAAGCGTGGGTCAGTGAAACAAGTACAGAGGACAACTTTCAAAACAGGAGTTTTATGGCCGCCCAAAGTCTCAATAACATCACCTCCACCTAGTAATAAAATTATGAGATATGAAAAGTGTGAAACAATCAAATAATAAAATATTCAAAATATATAGTTGTCTCTTAAATACAGATAACGTCTGAAAATTCTTAAAATAATCATCACTCCTTCATATATACTGATCAGTGTCCGAGAGTGTAACTCATGATGACTTCTTATCACGGCTACATACCTTCCCGTACCGGATGTAGTGGTCGAGATGAGTCTGTTCCGCCCTCTTCTTCTTCAGGTCAGTGACCAGATGCTTCCTTGTTGCTCGTTCTTCGCTGGATCTGTCTGGACATATCCATACATCTTTGTGCTTCTCCCTCAGTCTCCCTGTTTTCATCAGAATCTGATGAACCGCTGTTGAGCTTGGGACGGTGATCTTGACTGGTCGGATAGCCGTACTACCTGGCCTCTTCCAACCGACTCTAGTCGCTTCGAAGTGAGGTTTCTCCCCGATCTCCTCCAAAACTGCGGTAACTAGCGCTGGAAGCTGTTCTTCCTCCTCTTCTTTCAGCCCAAACACGATCAGGTTCTTGCTCCTGTCCTCCTCTGCAGCCACACTCTTCATCACCTTCTTCAGGATTTTACTGTTGCAGACCGTACCACTTGCACTGTTCTGTTGAACAGCTGCACTATAGTTCTGAATCCCTGACTCCACCGTTGTTTGGACTGTCTCCTCAACAGACGTCTTAAGCAACTGTAGTTGTTCGTCCTTCTGCATCAGCAGCTGGCCCTGCAGTCTGATCACCTTTTCTTTGTCTGCTAGTGCTTCCGTCTTGAAGCACTCGATGATCTCCTTCAAGAGATACATCTGACTATTCTGCCGACGAACAAGGTCCACTGCATCCACAATCCAGCCAGACAGAGTCTGTTTATCCTTAGTCTTGATCTTTTCACGACTTTCGTAGTCAATTTCACGGTAGTGAAACTGCATAGTGAAACTGCATAGTGAACTGCCATCTGAAAATACAGTGCAGGCACGTAGCCAGGGGGGGGGGGCTAGGGGGGCTGCAGAAAAAATTGAACCCCAGAAAAAAAATAATCCCCATGGTCGCCTGGTAACTGGGCTGTGTTTATGACTGCAGTCAGTCAAAGATTTGAACTGTGGATTAGTAAATATCTGTCATAACATCCAAACGAACATTCTAGAAGACTTCTGTAAATAGTCAATAGTGTCCCCTAGACCGTAGGAAATGTCAAAATCTTAAGACGATGAGGCTTGAGTAAGTCTTAAAGTCTGATTGGAGAATGCAGATTGCTGTTGTGAAGTTACCAAATTTACGTGAGTACTTGATTCTTTTCAATCCCAGTTTATTGCTGTCCTACAAATTTCTTTAATGCCAGACCCCTGCAGCCGTCAGACCCCTGCCACAGCTTGCTCGCTTCGCTCGCCGACAGCCCCACCCAAAGAAAAATCCTGGCTACGTGCCTGATACAGTGTTATCGCTTGGACCTTTAATTTTTAGGAGCTGCTGACATAGTGAACTGCCATCTAATGCTACTGCAGTAACACTCATTTTTAATTTTTTGAGAAAAACGATCACCATTTAGGACCACGTGTCCTAAAATGTTCCCGAAAACGTCCATTTTGGTCATTGGTCACTGAACGACACTCTCGCCTCCCGTACGTACCGGCCACCGGGTACATTGTACGCGTACCAGGTGTTCTCTGTTCAGGGACCACGTCCATTTTCGCCAATGACTAATACTATGCTAGGGCTTACAATTATTATTGATATACGTTTCAAATGTACTACAAATTATTATAATCATGATATATAAATAGCTCTAATCTCCATGTAAAGTTTTGGTATAATTCCATTCACATGACGTGGAAAGCTTCAACAATTTATCCATCGCCGTATCTAAAACATTATGATTATAAGACGTACAATATTACATATTATTGCTTTTTCAGGAGGTGCTGGTTCATAACATGATCCCTGAAAAGGTCTACCTTCAGAATGGCGAATCTTACAACTTGGAGTTCACATTTTCCTTGTCATCTCCAAACATCTCTGATTTAGGTAGAGCTCCGATATTTGAGTCTGTTTAAAACAACTTTATGAGTTTAATCATCTGACAATTGGTGATTCATAATTAGAATAACTTTCATCATGATTTTGATTTACAGTTTTTTAGAATTTTAAATGGCTATCACTTTGAGTAAAATCAAGATATTTGTTTCAGACTATTTGATTGCAGAGTCGCACGTTAGCTTGAATGTCTGGAATGGAACCTTTCTGGAAATCAGCTCCGACAAGGAAGTTGATTATCGTACCTTGAAAGTCTTGTATACCATTCATATCACGGATATTGGGAAAGCTAATAGAGCCGAGCCAGGTTTGACAGCGAATTTATTCTCAATATTGGGCCTGCCGCCTGCATTCTGCAGGACTCAGGAGTAACGCTGGCATATTGTATTCTTCAAAACGGTTGTAGTGTATGGAGTTGCTTTGTCATGCTTTGCTGTGCTTACGTTGCGCGGTCAATCCTGGCCCAACCTATATTTTACAATTTACTTGTGGTCTGTCCAAGTTGAAATGAATATTCGCATGATTTATACGAAGGCATATGGTACGATAAAGAACAGATTATATGTCCAAATTTTTATTTTAAAATAACAATTTGAAACTATTCGGAATGCAGGTGAAAAGATAGTGCCTGTGAGTATAGCGGTGTTTCCCAGTCAGGCCTGTACGTTGGCTCCGTTCCATATAATGCTCGGTTGTAAACCATGTGAGTCTACGCTTCAGTTCATTTCATATTTTTTGTCTAAAAATAATTACCCTTGAATCTAATTTAATTATTTTTAAACATTTCAACGTCAACCACCCTTTTCTAGATCAGAAAGTTTCCTTGAGCCAAGTGGACACACCAAACCTCCTTGTCAGTACAACGAGTGAGATTATACGGCTACAATATGACCAGGACTTTCATCCTAAATTCAGTATTCATGATTTAGTTTCCGGTGGTGATATCCCATACTTGGGGAACTATACTCTGACGATCTTGGGGTCAGGTACCACTGTCGAACAGATCGAAATGTGGGAGTAAGTTAACACTTTTTCCTAATATTCATGTTATATTTCTATCTTCATGGTAGACTTGCATATAATTAAAGCCGGTCTCTGAAGATGCTAAGATGCAATAATGATGATAATTGATTCCATCAGTGAAGGAGAGTTGGAAAAGTTCAATAAGAATGGAGGTGCGACTAGCGTTTGGACATGGAAAGATTCATTTAAACAGGTTTAATAGATTTATTTCAGCTTCAAGGAGTAGTATACAATATGGCCCCGCTGTATCACCTAAAAGTTAGGCACCATTTACCCAATTTCCTTATATGGTAATGTCACATAATCAATAATAATTTGTCGGCCGGGTGGTGTAGTGGTAACACAATTGCCTCCCAAGCAGAAGATCCAGGTTCGAATCCGGTCGAGAGCCAGTCGATCAGTTACCAAGCTATGATTTGGTATAGCTTCGGCTGGTTATATTCACTCTGTGACTGGTAGGACTAGCCCCCCCCCCCCTACTGCTAGTATAGCGCTTACACACAGTGACTTAGGGTTACCGTAGGGGAGATTTTTATCAGTGTAACGGTGAAATTATTATATTATTTAGATATCATAAATAAACTTTATGAGAAATAAGACAAACCGTTTGAAACTTAAAAAATCATACACATTTAAAAATACAATGTCAATCGTCAGCAATTTTCAGTACTTAAGACTTTGTACGATCATGTCACATTTCTTAACGACTGATTTCAATAAGGGAATATTCTCATTTATAAGTTTACAAAGGATTAAGAGATTATCAGTTTTTAGTACAAGATTGAAAATTAATTGTTCTTTGTTTGATAATATAGAATCCAACTGTAATCCACGTGTTTGAAAGTAATTATCTAGCATCACGAAAAAATCAGTCTTCAATTCATAACTTGAAAAAAGATCAAAGCAGTCATCCTCTTGGCAGGCTTGGTTCTTTAAATGTTTCTCAATTGACCGCAGAGTCTTGGTTAGCATATTAGAGCCAGCTTTAAGTCTTGTCATTTTCGTCTGCGCTTTACACGTGGATGATCATTGCTACTATATGAGGAACTTTCATCGTCTGTACTTTCATTGAGGTCATTGTCTTCATTTATTGATTCATTGTCACTTGAGTAATCCTTTGTAGAATCATCATCTTTATCTTCATCCATGCTATCATCAGTGTCGGTAGGATATTCATCGTCCATACTATCACCTGAATTTTGTATTGCAAGATTGCATAGGGTGTAAAAAACAATATTAAACAGCTTGACAGTGTAACATTATTTTCAGATTTTCATGTTGTTTTTAAAACTTCGAATCTATTGAATTAAATTACCTGTCTTCGATAAGGAGTTCATCTCGTGTTTCTGATCATTCTTGTTTCCAGAGTTGTTTGTTGTAATGGTCTCATCATCAGACACATTTTTATTCTCATAGATGTCATTCTTACGATGGAAGCTATATCGATGACTGGCTAGACTGCGTGAACTAGCAAATGTTTTATCGCATAATTCACAGAAATTGCTCATGATGATTCCAATTAAAGTGTCAGAGCAGCAAAATTGATGCGTATGCTAGGGGCACAAAGTGGAAATGATGCTGATTCTATTGTATTTATACACAATTTTGGAAATTTCAATTTTTAGATGTAACTTTTTGCAATCATATAATGAAGCAATATACAGCTGACGCTGCATCATGTAGGAATACTTCCCAGTGGGGAACGCACCAGACAGGAGAAGGGGAATAAAGTCAAATTCTACATCAACTAGTCAGACGGAGAGTATCATTATATATCATATGTATCATTTTAGTTATCATTATATCATTTCAGCTATCATTATATCATTTTAGATATCATTATGTATCATTGTGTATCATTTTAGATATCATTTTAGATATCATTTTAGATATCATTTTAGATATCATTTTAGATATCATTATGTATCATTATGTATCATTTCAGATATCATTATGTATCATTATGTATCATTATGTATCATTTTAGATATCATTTTAGATATCATTATGTATCATTATGTATCATTATGTATCATTTTAGATATCATTATGTATCATTATGTATAATTTTTGTATCATTTTGTATCATTTTAGATATCATTGTGTATCATTATGTATCATTTTAGATATCATTATGTATCATTGTGTATCATTTTAGATATCATTATGTATCATTGTGTATCATTTTAGATATCATTATGTATCATTATGTATCATTATGTATCATTTTAGATATCATTATGTATCATTATGTATCATTTTAGATATCATTGGGTATCATTTTAGATAACATTGGGTACCATTTTAGATAACATTATGTATCATTATGTATCATTTTAGATATCATTAAGTATTATTGGGTATCATTTTAGATATCATTAAGTATTATTGGGTATCATTTTAGATATCATTATGTATCATTATCATTTTAGATATCATTATGTATCATTATGTATCATTATGTAACATTATGTATCATTATGTATCATTATGTATCATTTTAGATATCATTATGTATCATTGTGTATCATTTTAGATATCATTTTAAAGATATCATTTTTAGATATAATTATGTATCATTAATCATTATGTATCATTTTAGATATCATTATGTTACATTATGTATCATTTTAGATATCATTATGTATCATTATGTATCATTATGTATCATTTTAGATATCATTGTGTAAAATTATGTATCATTATGTATCATTATGTATCATTATGTATCATTATGTATCATTATGTATCATTATGTATCATTATGTATCATTATGTATCATTATGTATCATTATGTATCATTATGTATCATTATGTATCATTATGTATCATTATGTATCATCATGTATCATTTCAGATATCATTGCATATCATTTAAGGCATCATTATTTAGTTTTTATATCATTATGTATCATATCGTTTTTGAAATTTAAAAAAAAATTTATTATTACAAATTCTATTGTAATTTATTCATGATTTTTATGGTTCTACTGATTTGATTAGGCGATTATAAGTAATTTGGAATACAATCAAGACACATAAATTCAAAAATGTGACAAATGAAAATTTGTTACAACAATTGGTAATGTTATCAAGATTCAAAAAGTCAGTATCAAAAATATTTGAATTAATCATTACATTTTTCCGTAATCAGACATGAAAAAACAAATCAAATCAAATGTTCTAAATCAGAAAATCAATTTTTAAATAGTTGTTTATGTCCATAACTTAATGTACTGATTCCATCGTCTAATATAAACTTTTTGTCGTCGAATCCTGATAGTCCACGCTTTTGCACAACAATACTATAAATTTTATTGCCAAAAGTGCGAATTGTTTGAGACTTTGTTATTGTAGTGCATTGAGTGTTCAAAACTCTTCTATAGTCTTCGTGGCGGATCTTTCTTTGGGCTGTTTTAGCGATCCCTTTTGCAGTCACCGAATGACCGATGGAACAAGATGATGTGCAATCATGAGCTTTTTCACACTTGAACAACAGCTTTTTGGTTACGACCGAGTACATTTTAGGCTTTAATGCAATAACTTCGCTGATTATTTCAGTCGGCTTTTCATCAGAGAACTTCCCTGGAACCTTTTTGTTTGCAGGGTCATGAAATCTTGCCAGCGGTGTACCGTTTAGATAGCCAGACAAATCCATTAGGTTCCGCATTCTGTACAAATCTTCATATCCATCCCTGGTGAAAACACCATAGATGAAGCTGTCGGTATCACTAAGGATAAGTTTGATGTCGTTTCCATATTTTGGTTTGAGAACATCATACCAGAACTCCCCCATGATGTTTTTCGCATTTTCCAATACAATAAATCCACAAGCTATGGGTTTGTTCAGGACTAAATTGCGTTTTACTGATTGTACAACAGTTGTTTGGTCATCCAGCATGTGAAAACCAATGAACTGTGGTTTAGAAGTAAGACGTTTTGCAGATTTTTGATCTTTCACTATCTCAACATTTGTGCGATTTCTGAGACTTTCAATAAACTTTCCGTAAATGGAGTTATTGGCAAGCTTAAAGAAGTCTTTCTCAAAATCCGATTGTGCATTTTGTCTTTTTGTGGAGTTGAATTCAATGTACGGAGTCACAAAATCTGTTTGGTCTGCGGCTAAAACCCGATGAATCTTTTCAACTTCAAGCCCTTTGTTGACGCATAACTGGAGGGTTTTCAGGGAGCATACGAAATGTTTCTTATCTTTCAAATCAGGAACAAGTTTGCGTGAGGCCTTAAACTTTTCACTGTGTAGTTCCAGAAACTTTTTGTTGAAGGGTGATAATTGATGTTCTTCAATCATTTTGCTCTCCACAGCGAGGGGGTAATCATTGTGGTAGTCATGAAGAAACGCTGGATAGTGCAGATCAATTTCCAAAATATAGCATGTTTCCCCTTCTGGGTCTATCTTGGAAGTGTCAAGTAGATCTATTTCATCCCTGTCTAGCCATCTAAAATTCTTATATGGCAACTTGTACGACATTGACTTTCCATAAAGGTTATTTGCATCCACATAATGGATGAATGATGTAGGCTTTGTTGTGTCATGGTCGTCCAAATAAGGGTTGTTGGCTTTGAAATGACGATGGTTAACCGTAGTGACTCCTCCTCGCAGATTCTTCTCAATGAAGGTGTACATGTCAATGTCAGTCATGTACTCGATATTCACATTTGTCATCTTCAGCATCGCATCCCAAGAAAATCCTGGCAAACTCATATAGTGACAACAGTCTAGGCCATAGTAGTCCAAGCAAAGTTTTCTAAAACTCTCAAATACATCACATAATATGAGAGCATCTGTTTTTACATAAATCTCCATGTAATCGAGCAAAGATTGACAGTTCATGGTTTTGTAGACATCTTGAGCTCGAGTGTAGTCAGCATCTGAGATGTCTTCTTCCCTCAGTTTACTGTAAAACGCTTGCTTGGGTGGTAGGTTCTTCTCCGAGAAAACTGAGAAAGATGAAGCATAGTCATAGAAATATACGCCTTTTTCTGACAAAAGTTCGTAGTTTTCTGGGAACTCTTCTTTTAATTGCTTGAACTTTTCGACACCTGACTTTTTCATATTTGATGCCAATCTATCAAGGGAAGTAGAAAGAAATGCAAAGCTGTCCAAGAAAATAAAGTTGTCAGTAAAAACAGCTTTGAACTTTTCAAGTGTCTCAGGGATTACATCCAATCTCTCGACTCGTTTTGTCAAATCTAGTAGGAAGAGGTTGAGATCATATCCTTTTAGGTTATGTGCAAATGCTGGAACTTTTTTAGTTCTGTTGAAATAGTTTATGTTGCAGGAATTGCATGCTGCACCTCTGAAGTTATTCTTTTTCTGCAAGTGGTCATGATCTCGAACTGGGTAATTTTTTTCAGATTCCCAGTTCAATTTTCTGTTACAAATGTGACAGATTGTTGCACTCTTAAACTTCTTTTCATCCTCGGGCGTCATATCTATTGATGTTGGTTCTTTTCATAGCATTTCATCATTTTATCATGTATGTTAGAAAGCTGTGATATGAATTCTTCAGTCACAACATTTGGATTTTCGTGGCTAAAAGTGACCACTTCCGAGTTATATTCCGAAAACTCTGACACAGTAACGATGCAAAAGCTGCAAGGTACATGTTTTTGATACTTCTCTGTGTAACTCGAGGTATCTTTTTTACTGCAGGTACTGTAAGGTACAGTTAGACATTCAAAATCAAAGTAAACTGTAAACAGTTTTTTGTCTTGCTTATGTAATGCCTTAAACTCAATGACTCCTGGATCCGGCATCTTGACTAACTGATTAATTCCTTGTTTACAGTTTTGGTAGTGAGTCTCATGGTTCTGTGAAGATACAAAACCATGCATACATTTTCGGCAGTAAAACATCGTGTGATGATGCTTAGTGCGATGTCTCATGAATGCGTTAAAATCTTTGATCAGTAAATAATGAGCAAATCCTTCATTTTCCAAGTAGAGTAGGTCAACTGGTTCGCCAATTTCACTGCCATGTTTTAACGGCAAAACACATTCTTCCTCAACACACCACTGGAAAACAGAAATTGAGACCTTATTCAACTCCTCAACTTTTGCTATATCTTTGATCTTTACTGGGAATTGAACCGTACCCATATTTATCTTCCCGATGTGAGACAGATACTTTGTGTGTCTATCAATATTGGAGCCTGTTGCAGGATAGAGCTTTGCCAAAAGGCAATACAAGAAGCATTTATTGTCTGAGGACTTAATGTTTAGAACTGATCTCATTTTACTTAGCTTCTCCGGAATGGAAACGTTGCCTGAAGCAGAAAGTGGAGAGTATTTTGCAATTTCGATATGTGCCCATTGCAATTCGTCAAAAATCCAACCACTTCCCAATCGTTCGTAGGTGTCAATTCCATGCCGAATATAGCTCTTAGCACGTGACAGAAAGTCATCAACATTGTCTCCTAGTAGCAAGGGTTCACAAATTGACCTGAAAACCTTTTCAGATTGTCCCTCTTCTCCATTGACATGCTTGTGGAATGATAGGGAAATGACTAGCTGTGCTTTAACAGGATGTGACTGTAAAATTTGGATAATCTTTTGCTTAGCTGCAGAGCATGACTCCAAAAGAATTGTATCATAATCTGAACTTTTCGCAATGCTGAGATCAAAGGACTTAAAGTACCCCGAAACTGAACTACAGTGCTCATCATTGTCCAGATGTTCATGAATCCCAGAGAAGCGATTGCATAAAGATTCATCGATCTGAGAGCGACACAGAAGCTCATGCCTTGCTAATTTGTCCGAGCGAAACAACTTTTTACAGCTGTTGCAGGTTTCTTTGCTGTTGTGTGTCGGAAGATGATGTTTTAGATTATCAGCCCTCATCCTCTTGAAACATACCGGACACTCTTCAACTTGATGTTTGCCATGTTGGCTTTTTGCTGAAAATCTTCTCTTCATTTCTGTCGAGAGCACAGAAAATCAAACGTAACGAAAAATGCAGTTTGAGAAATGAGCTGATGAAGGTCTCACTCCCCTTATATAGCCGATTGCAGAAAAATCAACTATTACTGAAAAGATCAAGTGTAAATCAGGATTTTGTCCTTGACCAGTTCAAAAACAGCAAAGAGAGCAGGTAAAATCAAACGTAACGAAAAGTGCAGTTTGAGAAATGAGCTGATGAAGGTCTCACTCCCCTTATATAGCCGACTTCAGAAAAATCAACTATTACTGAAAAGATCAAGTGTAAATCAGGATTTTGTCCTTGACCGGTTCAAAAACAGCAAAGAGAGCAGGTAAAATCAAACGTAACGAAAAGTGCAGTTTGAGAAATGAGCTGATGAAGGTCTCACTCCCCTTATATAGCCGACTTCAGAAAAATCAACTATTACTGAAAAGATCAAGTGTAAATCAGGATTTTGTACTTGATCACATCAAAATCGCAGGGAGAGCATGTAAAATCAAACGTAACGAAAAGTGCAGTTTGAGTAATGAGCTTACGAAGGTCTCACTCCCCTTATATAGCCCACTTTAGAAAAATCTACTATTACTGAAAGTGTCAAGTGTAAATCAGGATTTTGTACTTGAATCAGAATTTTGTACTATAACAAAATGTATGCAATTGACGAACAATAATTATCCTATAAACAAATTATTAAAAAAAGCTCGCTCAATTACTGACAGTGCTTAACATTTGCAATTGACTTGGTACTAGTTCAAACTACATGCATCTTACATTACTCAGTTAGATTAATGGTCATACTGCAGTGCAAGGCTATTAGATTGTAAGCCGGGTTCGAATTCGCCTATATCTTTATATTGATCACTGCCTACTACATCTTACATTTCTCAATTTAGTGGGAGTTCCCACATACATTTGGATGGAGAGAACGCTCTCCTAATTCCGGTTTTTCACGGGAGTCAACCCCGAACTGCGATATAGCTGACTCATGGCACTGGAGATAGACTAAGATCTCTCTAACCGAGCCGTCAACATCAGCCTTATCACAGTAAATTTTGATTGCTTTTTTTTTGAGTTTTGTAAGAGTAGCTTGACACAGATTTGAACACTGGATGTTCCGATTAACTGTCTGATAATTACAGGTGTACGCCACAGAGGGGCCCAAATTGATTCAATTACAGTGATATTTACAAACATATATTGCAATGTTATTATGGTGTATCATGTTACCAATGAATTTGGTGCCTTTCCTAATAACAATTATGACGTGTACATTGCACAGTTATGTTTTCACCTACTGTACACTCTTGTAACTGTCATAACCATTTGCAGTTATGTAATAATATCTTGTTGCATAGAGGAATATTGCTGCATCTATTGTTTTAGGCTGAGTTAATTAGTTGAATCTGGTTAGATTGATGGTAGCCAGCTGATTTCATTTAATTTCATCATTACACTGATAAAAATCTCCCCCACCCTAAGTCACTCTATCCTTTGTAAACTTATAAATGAGAATATTCCCTTATTGAAATCAGTCGTTAAGAAATGTGACATGATCGTACAAAGTCTTAAGTACTGAAAATTGCTGACGATTGACATTGTATTTTTAAATGTGTATGATTTTTTAAGTTTCAAACGGTTTGTCTTATTTCTCATAAAGTTTATTTATGATATCTAAATAATATAATAATTTCACCGTTACACTGATAAAAATCTCCCCTACGGTAACCCTAAGTCACTGTGTGTAAGCGCTATACTAGCAGTAGGGGGGGGGGGCTAGTCCTACCAGTCACAGAGTGAATATAACCAGCCGAAGCTATACCAAATCATAGCTTGGTAACTGATCGACTGGCTCTCGACCGGATTCGAACCTGGATCTTCTGCTTGGGAGGCAATTGTGTTACCACTACACCACCCGGCCGACAAATTATTATTGATTATGTGACATTACCATATAAGGAAATTGGGTAAATGGTGCCTAACTTTTAGGTGATACAGCGGGGCCATATTGTATACTACTTCAAGGTTGTTCCAAAATAATCCCATTGTATCCAGATTAATATCACTATATAAAATGAAAAACACTTGTACTCAACGATAATATGTTTTTTTGCAGATTAAATGGCTTTGCCGTGAAAGAAGTCCATGCGCAAACGTATACCCAAAAACATCAGAGGGTGTTCCAAATTTCTGTTTTAAGATTAAGTTCAGCAACTTAGAGTTCACGGATAGCGAATCTTACTGTATATTCGAGGTAAAACAGAAACTTTAATATTTTATTGCGATGACAATTATATTTCTTTAATTCTCGTTAGTTGAACAAAAGACGATGGAGGGACTGGGGTCACTACTATTTTAATTTTTCATCGATTCAATGCCTGCGATCGGGTATTTTCTTTAATTTAACTTTTTCAAGCTTAACAACCCTTTATTTGCGACAGGAGGAGTTGACGATATGTGTTCACGGACTTCCGCTGTCCATCTGGCAGAGTATTGCAACCTTCAGTGTTATAATGGTATTTTTCATTGGGACTCTGTTCACGTTGTTTATCAAGAAACACAGTTGGCGAACTCTGCTGGTAAATCATTTCTGTAAACCATTTCTGTAAATTATCCCATACCACTATCATGATAACTCTCAAATTATCTCCAACTTCCATAATTCATTACTAATTACATGATTTACAGTTACAACGTCGATATTCGATCATTATAATATCATTTACAATTAACCGGCTAATAGCATGTAGTAATAAAAGGAGGTCACTTGCAGGAAGAAATAAAAATAAAAAAGCCGGAAGAAGACGTTGATGAGGAGTACGAGATGTTTGTCAAAGAACGTCAAGTGAGAGAACGTCAGCGTGCCAGCACCCTCCGGCCTTATCATCCCGGTAATTTTCTTCCGCTAAATTCTCGACATGCTCGAGCATTGTAGCTAACTCTTCAGCAATTAATACGATGTCACATTATTATTTCTGAAAATGACAAGCACATTTTTCAGGTGACAAGCGACAAAGCATCGTTAATCAGATCCGGATGATGCAAGGAGGTTCTATCTCATCTGGAGACAACCGTAACTCTCTAGCTCCCAGTATGAGGTCAAGTGTGGCTAGGAGTCGCAGCTCACGCAGCCATATCTCTCAGAAATGAACTGGTTTTTGTTGGTATACTTCTAGTTCTTCTACCCAAAGGTCAGATTTCAGAAAAAATCGTTTTATGAACCAGTTGCCCTTCATTTCATACTGCATCATCTCATCCATCCACCACCATAATTTCGTCAAGTTCTCCAACACATTTTTGGATCAAAAATTCTGTTAATATGACGATTATCGGATTGTTGTAGTTAAGTTGCAATATGAGTCAGACTAGCATTATTTGATAAAGAAAAGTCTAGAAAGTGTGATTTTTGTGAATTTATTGCTAACAAGAAGTAAACGTTTTGGCTTCTTGTAGTTAAAATATTGAACAGAACATTTTACGTTTACAACCTTTATTGTTATCTAGTATCTACATCTGAAATTATCATTCATACTTCAAAGTTTACAAGTTGATTGCTGCTATGTAGTTTTGTAAAATGTTTAAGCAATAAAAAATTACATAAACAAGTTCTTGAACGTAGTCGTAAGGATGCTTTTGCAGAAAATTTTCACAGTCTGATGACCAAATGATGCTGAGATTGTTGTAGTTTCTTTGCTCGTAGTATTTCAAATAGCATATTTCCCCGCTGCTATACGTCAGTTTATCTAATCTAATCCGAAGTTATGTGTTCTGATAGAAAGATACAAAATATATATTTTTCACCCGTAATGGGCACTGTTGCCCATGATTCTCCTCACTCGCCGAGTTCTCTCCTGAACAGATTCGTACCTTATGATCTCCCTCACTCCCGCTGGCGCCGACTTGCTCGGTGTAGGACCGTTTCTGTGCTGCACCTGCTCATAAAGTTGTTTTCATACTCATGGCTTTGTTCATCAAATTTGATACATTCTGCTGCTCTAAAGTATAAAAAGGGTCTTTTCTTTCAGAATCAAGTTTTACTTACAGAGGTGTTGGTAAGAAGGAAGTCGGAGTAACTGATTGGTCTGGTTCGGTCCCCAGTCTGTTCCAAACATCTGAAGTTGACTGGAATGTTGGGGAACTTTGTCAGAATGTTTGTTCTCTTTCGTGGAGTGTCTTGTGATTGCGTCGGCGGCATCGGCTGAAATTATAGATGATAAATTCCTTTCAATCAATTTAGCTAATCGGGCTTCATGTTACTGATGATAAAATGGTTAGGAATTTCAAACTCAGTGCAATTCAAATGATCCTGATGAACGATATAAAATACCCGCTCTTGAACTGACCGGCACTCTGTTTTTGTGTTTGCTATTCCGCCTCCAGTTAGGTATGCCGTCTAGTGTACTCCGGCTGGAGGTGGTGGCCAGTGAGCCAGCACGAGGGGGTGACTTCTCGGAGTCTTGTCTATCTTTTACTCTTCGTGTGGTGTCTACTCGACTCCTCATCGTAGCTATTGCGTTGTTCAAACAGCGCATTGATCTATATATTTCGTACAGTCAGAATACTTCATACTACAGAGTTATCTTTAAACATGTGCTTTAATCGCTATGGATAGGAGATTCTTGACAACATTTATTTTAAAGAGGATTTCTGAAAAATACGACGATTCACCAAACTTATTTTGACGCTCTGTAGATGCTAGGAATAATTTTAATTCTAAATTCCTCCAGTACCCACCTAATAGAATGTCTGAAAGCAGTAGTTTGCCTGCCAGCCAGCTCAATAAACTCCCTCTGATTCGCCATGTTCTTCTGGGTTTTAAACTGGACATTTCCCGAACTCTCATCCATCACGGTACGTTCTAGTGCCCGCTCACTTATCATCCTGGCGTCTGCTTCGTAAGCTAGGATTCGGTTCTCTATGTCCTGAAAAAGAGGCAAGGTGAGAATTAAAGGATGTAACTGAAGTAGGCTGAGTGTAGGTTAATCAAAACTTTGGTTAGATCTGAAAGAATTTGTAGTTATACTGTATTATGCTCAGTCCGTCTAATTAACCTTGTTAAAAATATAATTTTTGTTTGCCTCAAGCCACAGGGTTTTGCATTTCTCACAAATTTTGCATATAATAATTATATTCATTACCCGCTAAGCCTTAAGTTTTCGATTAAATTGTGATTTAATTTGACCAGTAGTTGTCATGGGCGATTCAAATAACAAGTTGTAAACGAAGACAAGATAAAGTTGGCAGACTAGAATCAGACGAATGGAAATATCAATACACGACACTCAATTATTTTCTTCAAAGGCAACCGCGTGAATTTTCCAAAAAATTTAAGTTTTATACCCGTTCAACTTCAAGCAGCATGTTAGATGGTCTTGTTGGAAAGTTTAAAAGGAGTTCTAACTAACGAAAATGAACTATCGCTGAATTTAGCACGGAGTAAAATCAGAAATAAGTTTCGTTTGCAAGCACAATCGTACGAACATAGGCGAAAGTCGATGCAATTATGGGGAACAATCAATAGTTCGCATGCGTTTCAAACAAATAGCAAGCTAGCTTTTATTAACAAAAAAATTTTTTTTAAACAATACAGGATATAAAGAGTCTATAGAAAATGTCTGAAGTACAGTTATTGAGTTCTGGCACGGTCACAGGGCCATGTGATATTACATGATGGGAAGTGAAGCTTACGAATTACGTTACACTTAACAACGTGACAATATTGCATAAACTGTTAAGCGTTTGGCACTGGAGTCTGGAATAGTGCCTGGTTTGGTATAGTTTAAAATAAAATGTATCAATATAAATGGCAGTAAGATAACTAAAGAAGCCTAGCTGCCTGCTGGCGACCCCCCATATCCAAAAACCCGCATTCTCGCATTCTAAGAATGTAGGAAATTTTTAAAAGTAGGAAATTTTTGACAAAAAGTAGGAAATTCGAGAGCCAACTCTGAGAATTTTCGATAATATTTCAGTAGGAATTTAAGTGAAAGAGCAGACTAAAAGTTGCTGGACCGTTATTTAAATGTCCTCAGTCAGGGATCCACTGATCCAGTCTGCTGAGGGTGAAAAGCTTGTTCAACAGGTTGCTACGAGAATGGCAAGAAACCACTCTTTTCTAAAAACCACCCATGGGGGGATGGGGGCGGCTATAGAAAACTTCTGCAAATCCCAATATAGACTACCATTCCAGTTTTGATAATAGCATTATCAATCATGTAATGTTGTGAACGGTCATCAATGCAATTGTAATAACTTTATGTCAGGAGTTCAAAGAACATTATATAGTATTATGAGTTGATGTAATACGTCTAAACATGCATAATGCATAAGCATTCTTTGTTGCGTTTCCTATCTTATTTAAATAGTAAATACTAATAGTCATTATTATATTTTTGGAAAATTTAAATTCCTTGTTTCTTGAATATTTGGTCTCATACTTGCTTCCTTCTCCAAATTCCCTTAACCCTGTATTAGTTTATAGCTTGAAAGCAGAAAGTGATGGTAGTAGATGAGAAAACATTTTTGCCAAAATTATAAACTCTTGATACTTCATGCTGTCTCCTATTTCGTGCTTTAGTTAAGCCAAGTGTTTAGGGATTCTAGAATCCAGACAATTTATCCCAATAAAAATTGAAATCAGAAAATAGTATGCTAAAATCGTTCTCCATTGTCAGATTCGTTCCAGGAGGCCAAATCTAGTTTAAATTTCCAAAATTTTCGGGGGCTTGGCCCCCAAAAGTAACCTAGGATTATCTATTAAAAAGCATTCCGGGCCCTAAAAAAGTAAAATTGAGAATCTGGAATCCGCCATGAAAAATCTTTGAACCGCGCGAATACAAAGACTTTTTATGCGAGCGAAGCGAGTGGGCCACAGAAAACGAAAAAATTGAGAATGTAGGAAATTAAAAATTTTTTGGATATGGGGGCGACCCTACCTTCTCCCTCTGTCTAGCAGCGTCCTCCAGCTGTTTAATGTAACTGTGAGCATTGAAATTCCTCCTCTTTCCGTGTCTGCTGTTATATGTGGTGTTGTAGTATCTCTTCCTAGCCGTCGCCTGATCCAGATTAAATTCTGGAGTGTACATATTCTGATCTCCTGCTATATGGTATAGGTCAGAAAATTGAGTTTAAATGGTGTGTTTCTTTGTGATAATCATGAATTTCATGATGTTAAACTAAAAATGATTATCATGAATAAGACTGATTATTGAAATGTTAATCGATTCAATTCTGTATTTCCAACATCATTTTGACAACACAAGTCACAACTCATTCGTATTGATTCGCACTTTACTTAACATACCAAATTTCAATAGGAATATAAATATGTGACTGATTGAAGGGTAAAAGTGGAGTGTGCTTACAACGAACAATACGTACTGCTGAAGGACTGAGATAATGGAAAACAAGGAGTTACTGATGATCTGTTAATTTGTCACTCTGCCAGGTAAACTTTCAAGATACTACAATCAATCAATGTTACTAATACTACTCGTTTAAGTTTAATCGAAATATAAATATAAACAGTGAATAAGCGACAAATTGAAACCAAACTAGCAAACATCCCATTATCCTGGCTTCTTACCAGCAATCTATCTATCTAACTATGGTAACTCAAAAATCATTACTCTTATCAATCATGGACAATTATTACCGGTGCTAGGTGAGCGTGAAAACAATCAGATACCATGGAAACGGATCAAGTTTATTCAAAGTAAAGATGTTGCAAGGCTATTCTCCTCACTATTAGAGTATTAGATACTGAAATAGATTGGAAGACACATTACAGCAATTTGTATCGCATGGCAACGGGAGCTACAACTAATGTGACCTAATACGTAAAACTTGTGAAATGACTGAATGCTATAATAACCAACCGAACGCCATGTTGAAATATTGTATACCAGTTTCAAGTTTCAAATACATGCAAGTTGTTTACTGAGCTGATAAACTGATAAGAAAATTAAACTCAGGAAGTATTTTTATCGCAGAAAGTTAGAAACGCTTCCAGATCTCTCACTTCCCAGGGCACGCAACGTCACCGTGCCATTAATTCACGATTTTAATATTTTATGTATATCGTCATGGCAACAGCATACTCACCTACTACTACTAACCAGACTTCATCGGAATGTACCGGACATTTTAAATTTGGTATCCCCAATCTAATTTAATAAACCGTGCCTTACAAACTACTGCCACAGTATTATTATCAGTGTTGCCAATTGGAGTTCACCCAGTCGGGCCTGCTGCAGAAGGTGCTAAGTATACTCAACCACCCTCCAAAACGTGGCACTTGTAATTGGAGCTGATTATCACATCTTTATTCCAAGTCCGGTGCTGTGGGTGCGGATAATGATATGTTTTCTGGTGCTATCATACAGTTGTAGTGGATTATACACAAACTGTGCTATGTTATTTACTAATGTTTGATGTCGAACATATGTCCGGTCGAACCCCTGAATCTGTTGCTTCTGGGAGTGGGATGATGATTTTTCAGGTCACATCTAGGACCTAGGTATGCAAATGTAATTTGCACAGGTGTACTTGTAAACTTTAACAAGATCACGAGGATCAACAAAAAAAGTATTATAATTAAATTGTATTGGAAAATTAGACTGTTGCTACGATCTACACTAGAACAGAATGAAATAATTTGATAAGGTAGACGAATGAGAGACCTCATTCAGCTGAAAATACATCAGATTTTGTCTAGCTTTCGGCTACATGCCTTTGTCATACCTAGAACGTCGACAAAATCTGATATATTTTCGGTGGATACTCTCGTCTCTCATTCGTCTACTTTATCACATTATGATCGAACAACTCGGAAAAGCGAAAACAGACAATTAAAAGTGTGAAACAATAAAACATTTAGCGTCGTCGGCAAATGTTAGATGCTCGAAAACAGAAGCTCTTACTGTCCTAAGGTAGATGATCAAGTTTGCACAAATTAGGATAATTTGTTTTGCTTGAAGATAGTGTTCTTACGGAACATCTTTGCGTCAGATGTTTTGTGATAGAAGCTTCACATGAAATTGAAGGCGTTATCATATATGTATAAGACAAGAGAAACGCCATATCAGGACGCGAGGAGGATCAGGACTCCTCGGAATACATTAAACCAATTCCTTCCGTAACGTCCTGAACAAATATAATTACAAATTCAAAAATCACAAAATATTCAAAAAGCATTACTAAACACCGAGAAATATGTTATGTTCATTGTCGGTCACTAGAAGTAGTCTAACTATTGAGCACTTGACGTAGAGTAGAAGTAGTTAACAGTTAACAATGATAACTGATCAGGACTTGCAGTATCAGACAACCACTTTTAAACAATAATTAATTATAATCTATCTTCAAGTACTTACAGTTTAATTGTTCGCTACTGTTTAAACAACTCCTCAGTATCCAAAGTGAAGTGCTTTGTGTCAACCGATTGGAGGAACGACTTATCTAAGCTGAGGTCTAAAATACCAAATTTTTTTGATAAAATTATCTCTGTCACGTCACTTTTTTAGGTTCCAGTGTTAGCTGTTTTGTCATAGTATAGAGGAATGAACTTTTCGAGTGAATCCACCCCTCGTATACCTGTTTCAGTAGAATAGATACCGAGCCACTCCGGAGAGAAAGATCAAAGAAATGCTGTGTCATGCAATTTGCAAATTTCGGTATAGCTAGGATGATTTCGCAGAGTAGAACACTTACTCTCTAACTTACTTTATAACTTTGGCTGGATAGTTGAAACCAGGAGATAGATAACAATATGATCACAAATAATTCGAAAAAGAATATGGCACCGGGAATTCCAATCGAATTGGCCCTATCTGACATTGTAAAAATGTACACCTATATAGTATATATTTATCTTCAGTGCATCAATCGCTTCACAAGTACGACTACGAGGTTAAATAAAGCGAGAATTACTTTTACGTACGCGCACGATCGCGGAAAAAGCCACGTCCATAACAGTAACACCATTAACCAGTTACTGTTATGGAAGATTACCCCATTTGCAGTGTTGAGATTGTCTTTGTGAGACATATCACTTAACAAATACTCTTTAATTGGAAAATCGCTTAACAGTTTGCCTCACTGACAGAAGCAAACCTATGCACAAGTTGCAACTGATCAAAACATGGCTGGGATTCTGATTTCTCATTAACTCTTTTTATACGCCGTGACCAAACCGTAAATAACTATCATCTGCTCCTTAATTAAAACCTACATATCAAACATGTTCACGAGTATCCACGTAACACGCAGAACTTAAATTTAGCCTTTCAATTATGGTACATTTTAA